TTTGACAGTTTGATCTTTAAATTGGCTTCTTTAAGCTTACCAAGTACTACATCAAGTCTTTTCAAGTGTGTATCCACGTCTTTAGACATGACGATTACGTCATCTAAGTACAACCATAAGTGCATTACCTATGAGACCTCTAAAGATATTATCATGAGCCTTGAGAACGTAATAGGGGAGGATCGTAATCCAAACGCCATACAGAGGAAGTGATAATGACCTGTAGGAGTGGAGAATGCAGTTAGCTCTTTGGGTGTCCTCGTGAAGAGGGGCTTGAAATGTGAATGTTAACCCTTTGAGGGTTTTGGACGTACTAGTACGGCTTACGACGCAGGGTTTTTGACGTACTAATACGCCTAAATTCTAGCGCCCTCAAATCTAGTGGGGGAAAGCTGGTAGGCCTCCATATGAAAGATGGTCTATGTGGTCAGTGTGCACCCGTATAAAAAAAAATCCTGCCGCACACAGTGCACAATGAGAAAAAAAAAACTTTGAAACCATTTTTTGGAATAAAACAGTGACTTTGCACTGTATTTTCGTATGGTATTTATTGTTGTATTCAGTTTTCTTTGGGCTCATTTTATAGAATGGACGGCATATCATAGAAATCGAGGATGATTTTGACTGGTTTTACAATGAAAAGTACCTTGAAATTGAGCTCAAAGTAGCAGAAATGTTCATTTTACCAAAGTTCAAAAGTAAACAAATCATGGGCCCAAACGTCCAATACACGTCAACTGGTGAACTAATATTCTTTTGCAAGTGCGCCAAAAATGATCATACCATTTTTTACACTAATGCAGTAGTCTGCATAACAGTAAATCTTCTTTTTTTTGTGAGAAGAAAAATTCAAGTGGAAAGCAAAAGATTGTAGGTGGGGCCTTGAGACCTGACTAATGAACAGAGGAAATGTCATTTAAATGCCAGGAATGTATTTCTTGTTTGTTCTGGACCCTATTCGGAAACTGCATCTTTTGAAATTTGTGTGAAATTGGCAAAATTGCTAAATTCTGACCACTGTACTGGATAGTTGAAATTGGGAAATGGGTGGTTTCTTGCACTCATTCAATAGAAAAAATGGAGTTCTAGCGAAATATTTAGTTTTTTTGTCGACTAGTACAGTGGAACTGGCCGAAAATGGGGCTCAAAGTGGCAAAATCGCCGATCCGTAAACATCGCCCCAGACCCCCTAAATTCGCGAGAGCATAATTCCGTAAGTTTTCCATCAAATTTTATATTTTTGGCCTGTCGACCCCCAAAGGGTTAAAAAAAAAAAAAAAAAGGAAAAACTACAGTACTACTGTATACATAAAACAATAATAAACACTGAAAATAAAGGCGCCAATAAACAGATTGCAATTTGACTTACTTTTACGAGTAACAGACGAGATCATTTTGCTGTGACAATAAGAGAATTTTGTACAAGTGGATTATGTCATTTACTTCCATAATTTGTTCATTATTTTGCCCTCACAATGGATAATTCTGTACCCCGCTGACTTTGTCCACTGTTTCCAAAATTAATTACCCATGGAATTTGTCTGTTCTTTCCAAAATCCGTTAATTGGATGTTCATAAAAAGTGGGAAACTTTACATTATTGGGGAAAGCTTTATCAAACATAAAACTGTGTGAGAAGGAAGGACAGCTCAAAAATGAGTGCACATTTAGTTCTTAATTACTGAATGATTAGAATGTGCAGTGAACTTAAAAAGAACTGCATGGTAAAACAAACCAGCAGCATATGACAAAATATATAAGAACTTCACTGCAACAATGAACTAACAAAGCTCAATCAACAAGATCCCCACCCTTCAACATCACATCACCAACCCCCAACAATCAACTTCAGCCCAGTAGGGCCACAGCTACCCTCTCCACTTGCTTTAGGATGTTAATATCTTTATTTCTACAAGTACATGTACAAGGTATACAGGCCTAGCTGACATCATTGACTTACTATATAGAAAGCCACTTGTTTATGCAGAGCATTTCAGGCAAATTAGGTCAGTTTTGTCCCAGGATGCAACCCACACCAGTTGCCTAACACTCAGGTACCCATCTCACTGATGGGGAACAGACAACCAATGTAAAGAAACACACCCAATGTTTCTACCCTCACTGGGAATCAAACCCAGACCCTTGCCATGTGAAGTGAGAGCTTTAGCCACCAGGCCACGGGGCACCATGGCCTGGTGGTGCCGTTTTTTTTAGCTACATGTACTCTTCCTTTTAACTGCCTGAACCTCACTAGAGTTCAGGTATATGACAGAGCATGCTCATCAACAAATTAGGTAGAGAAAGTAGTATTATATTTTGCAGTACTGCTATGGGAGGTCAGAGAAACATCACCCTATTTTTCCAATGTGCTTTTCACTCCATAAATCACAGAAATGATGGGTAGCACAGTTTTCAGGAACTGTATATTCCCTCCATTTATTCCTGTTTTCCATTTATACACTTCAATCATATCTCCCCAGTTCAATGCCTTTCCAAAGAGTGCAAGTTCAATGCTTTCAACCTGTTTTCATAGGAAAAGTTTCTAATACACGAAATCAACGTCGTCGTCATCCTCTGTATACGTACGTTCAAGTGCATGTATGTCCATACAGTAATATGGAGACCAGGACTGAGCAACATAATCTAAATGAGGTCTAACCAAAGATACATAAAGATGAAGTACTATAACATCAGGGCTTCTATTATAAAAGTGGGCCCCACTTTACAGTGCTTCACGTTACGGTGTTTCGCTGATGCAGTAGTTTTCAATTACTATACCTATTCTTCATTTAATCAGACTTCCTACAATAAATATATTCACTATTCACTATAAGCTAAGGATGAAAATATTTTAAGGTAAGCAATGTGTGTATTGTATGTACATGCAGTTTTTAGGCCTAGCTCTATTGCTCACTTACATGATAGTGTAAACCATGTTATTAGGCTGTTATATGAATTTAAAAGGGAAAAAGTATATGTTTCACTTTACAGCAATTTTCGCTTTACAACAGTAATAATAATATCTTTATTTACTACAAGTACATGTACATGGTATATAGGCCTAGCTGACATCAATTAATAATATTAATATTAATATCTTTATTTACTACAAGTACATGTACATGGTATACAGACCTAGCTGACACCAACAACATACTACTACAGTGGTCCCTCAATAATCGTCCGGCCCGAAAGTCGTCCATTTCGGAAATACAGGTAGCCCCGTTATTTCGTCTAAACATTGGCTCGCAAATGGTCCGTTAACTCGCTAATCGTCTTTCGTCCTGGACGCGTACTCATGGCTCTGAACTATTCCCAGCCAGTGTGCCATTGTTTACCAGTAAGCGACTGTCCCCTCACATGTTCATACGAAATATTTCATAATATTCCATTCATTTTAGTGCTTGCAAGTGCTAAATAAGCTACCATGGCTCCAAAGAAAGCTCCTAGTGCCAAACCTTTGGTAAAGGTGAGAAATACGATTGAATTTAAGAAAAACATCATTGAACAATATGAAAGGAGCAAGAGTTTCAGCAGGAAGAGCAACAGATCGCAGCTCAGAATCTTGCTGCAGAGGAGGAGGAAGAGAGATGGAAGAAGGTGCCTTCTTCAGAAATTAAGGAGATTTTTGAAATGTGGGGTAGGATGGAAAGATTTATGGAGAAACATCACCCTGAGAAGGATGTTGCAAGCCATATTGGCAACTTGTACAGTGACAGAGTCTTGGCCCATTTTAGGGAAGTTTTAAAGAGATGCCAGAAACAGAGCTCTCTGGACAGTTTTTTTGCAAGACAGGACTCCAGTGACTCTCAAGCTGGTCCTAGCAGCATTAAGAAACAGAGAAGAGAAGTAACCCCAGAAAAGCACTTGGTACTTGAGGTGTTGATGGAAGGGGATTCCCCTTCCAAACAGTAATTCAATGTCTCTCCTCCTCCAGTCTTCCATACACTAAGAAGAATCGCCAATAAAGGTAAGTGTTATGCTGTTAATGTTTCATTCATCATGTGCCATTGTATTGTTTATGTACTACATCTTATTTCATGTAAAATTTTTTTGTTTTAATACTTCTGGGTGTCAGGAACGGATTAATTGTATTCACATTATTTCTTATGAGGAAAATTGAATCGAAAATCGCCTATTTCGATAATAGTCCCACTTCCAGGAATGGATTATAGACGATAATTGAGGGACCACTGTATATAGAAAGCCGCTTGCTGTACTGAGCATTTCGGGCAAATTGGGTCAGTTTTGTCCCAGGATGCGACCTACACAGGATGCGACCTGGTCACAGACCGGGCCGCGGGGGCGTTGACCCCCGAAACTCTCTCCAGGTAAACTCTCTCTCCAGGTAAACACCAGTCGACTAACACCCAGGTACCCATTTCATACTGATGGGTGAACATGGGCAGCAGGTGTCATATGGAAACATGTCCCTAATGTTTACCAGCCGTACCAGGGGAGATTCGAACTCCAGACCTCAGTGTGTGAGCTGAGTTGGCTAGCTCAGAACCTAACTTGCTGTATCAGCGAGGCCCTCTTGCACTTCTTGATATGAAGCCAACAATTCTATTAGCTTTATTGTGAACACTCAGTGCTCTGTTGTCTTGGTTTTAAATTCTTGCTAACTCTTAATTATTTTTTTTTCAATCACTTTGACAAACATCTACACTATTGCTTTGAATTGCATCTGCCACTTCTCTGGCCACAACATCAACCTACCCAATTTTACTTACATGTACCTGTACAAAAATAAACTTGCTTAACCCCCATTCTGCACAAGGTTTTCAAGGAGAAAAAAAATTACTAAAATTTGATTCCAGAACATTTTTAAAGCAATACAGTATGCTAGTTACAAAACAGATTTTCATAGCAGAAGACATATGGTGCATGCATCATGTATATTGAATTGTAGTTTTTCTGTACAATTACTGACTAGCTATTTTCATTATTAAAAATAATCATAAATAATATTAAAATCGTGTGCTGTATCATAAAACTTACCCAAGGGTGCTGATGAATCCTGATACACTACCTTCTGCATAAAGGGATACAATATCACCCATATGCAAGAAGGAGGCAGAGCCTTCAGGACCCATGGTGACTGCCTAATCGACAGGTTACACAAGTCTCTTTCTTTCTCTGGGTCACACCAGGGGCATAGCTAAGTTCACACTTGATGGTGGCCCCTCATATATGATGTCAGGACATCATCAATACCATAATAACCATCACTTGCCACTTAAATCATGTTGCACACTGACAGCTTGTCACTGCCACACCAGTAGACTCTAAAAGTAATGCTTGAAGAGTAAACCCTCAATTTAATAAACTAATCAAGAGAAGAGTGGGTGGGGAAAAGCCAATAATAGTGATAGGGTACAGATGACATTATCTGACCATGATCATACAATACTGTAATTAACTTTGTTTCTGAATCAAATGACCCAGTGGCATTTGTCTCAGAGTTCCAAAGTCTGTTAAATTGAAGTCCATTAAATTGAGGGTCTATTGTACTATAGTAATATGCTTCAGCATGATAAATACTGTAGCTACACAGTACAGGGCATTTTAAACTTTACAGCTGTATAGCCCTTGTGGCTTAGCGCTCTTTTGATAATAATAATAATAATTTAAACTTTACAATTCCAATGGGAATTGCTGTGAAAACGGTAATTAAGAGCTCCAGGAACTAAAAGAATTCATCCTCGTGCCTAGAGTGCAAACTAGTAACCTGACTAGTAAGTTTATTCAGGTATACACAAATAGTTACATAGAATTATCATACATTGCAACATGTGTAGAGAACCTAGGATAACCCAAAAAAGTCAGACAGAGTGACTTATTTCCATTGGGGTCCTTTTACCTTATTATTATATAAAGGTTATAGTATTTCTTATTATTCTATAATGAAGATAACATCTTATTATCATACTAAAAAGACTATCTACTATTACTAGTGCAATGTCATCATTAATAGCTTGTGAGGCAGCAAGCAGCCACTACACTTCCTCTGCCATCCATCACACTGAAAGAGCTCATCCCTCCACCACTTGTCTTATCAAGAGATTCAAGTGGCTTAAACTTCAATATTAAAAATCACAATTTTGCTTATTCACAGACCTAACTAGAATAGACATTGCTTATTTTCCCCGAATGTCTAGTAAACAGGAGCTTTAGCTTTCCCCCTGGTGTTGGTGGCAGTGACAGATTGATAAGTTAATGCAAAAGGTAAATCCCCCGTATGAAAATCCTGTTTCCACAGATGTGCATCACTACGGTCACCTCAGCAAGCACTTATTGCTAGCGGCTGCTGAGCCTGTGAACTGCTAACTCGCAGAGTTGCACACTAACCACCAATGCTAGATGGACTTAAGCCACGAGAATTTTCCACAAACGCATTTGAGAAGGTTTGAGGGAGGCAGACCAAGAGTATACCACCACACACACTGGTCTGAGCAGCACTACCTTCACCGCCTCACCTCAGCCCCGCCTCTACATGCAGCTCTGTTTTTTTATTACACTTCGTTTTCTGTTTTAGCTGATCTCAGCCTCTTCAAGGGAGATGTTTTGATGTCGATGGAAAGTTCTTGATCTAAGGAATTAGAGGTACCCTTCCCTTCCTAGGATCGAACCTGATTACTTCCCATTCCAAGACGCTTTTTGCCCCCTGACACTTTTTATTTTCCCCTCCCCTCAATGTAAAACGAACTGAATCCTGTGTGACCCATACAGTAATACCTTTAACAATATCTTAATTTCTACAAGTACATGTAAAGGTATACGCCTGAAAAAACCTCTATTTTATTTTTGGTACAGAGCGGGGCTGCCAACTTAACATTAAAGCGACAACACTCTAATTGCCAAACATAAGAGGGCAAATTCCTAGGCCTAAACCTCGACAAAACCTAAATTTCAGCACCCATACCCAAACATATAACCAAAAAAGTATCCAAAAGGGTGGGGATCCTCTCCAAATACATACTACGTGCCGCAAACTCCCCCTTCTCACACTATACCACTCACTTATTTATCCAACCTCTTAATTCGCCCCTGGATGAGGTAAGTGCGGTCGTGTTTTGCACCCCCTACGTTTTCCAGACGAGCTACTCAGTCAAAAACAGGCGCCAGTGTGCGCAGGGAGTGAATACTTTTTGCATTAAACTCTTTAGTGGGGTTTTAAACCCTATCATCGAGTTTTATTGCCCAAAATTAATAAAAAGACATACCATCAGAAACGAGGATTTATTGGATGGCATGAACGGTGTAATAGAAATTTCGTGAAAGTGCAAACTGCTAAAGTTATGGGGTTTTTGGTTGATTTTTACCAAATGTCAGCTTTGAACCCCTTAAAGCATGAGGGTCAAGTTGACGGATGTTCACGACATTTTTCGGGGGTTTAAGCTCCGCAACGTCCCTTTTTTGAGGCTATGAGGAATATTCAAAAAATTATTCGAACGTTATGGAACGACATCTAGCCCAACCTGGCAAATGGGTAAAAGGTGCTTACACAGGATTTCCTGGGGGTTCTTTTAATCTCAAGATGACGCAAGGGCATCCTAACCCTCGTAGTATATCTCGAAGATTTAGAACCCAGGCAAGGTACGTATGGGGGGCAGAGACGTACGTCCCGACTGTGTGGCGAATATGATCATAAAGCGGAAAGACTGTGCAAGGGGAGTATGGGCCCTGGCCGGCAAGGGGCGGACACCGCGCATGACACCCGATGCCAAAGGGGAAGAACGGGGGCAAGGGGGAGGGCGGGGTCGCAGGGGAGGGGGGTGTGGGGGCCCCCCTGGGTCGGAAGAAGGGGTGATCCAGAATCACCGGGCCCTCAACAGGGGCTCTGGGCCGGGCAAGGGGCGGAACACCTGCGCAGAGCACCCGATGCCTAAGGAAAATGGGAAAGGGAGGAGGGGCGGGGTCGCATGGGGAGGAAGAGGGGGTGGCTCCCTTTTTGTGGAATCGGAAGAAGGGTGATCCAAAAACACCTGGCCCATCAACAGTACAGTTGTCAAGTGAGGAGGTGCAGGGGGGCGCAGCGGGAAAGCTATTGAGGAGGAGTTGGAGACGGTAACGGCTATGTTACATTTAGGGAGGTGGAGAGTTCCAGCGAACAAAAACCCGGGGATCAGGGCAGAAGGTGTGTGTGGGGAAGGGAGGATCAGGTGGCCCCTTGGGGGACATGGAGCCATGAAGGACAGGAGGGGGTTTAAGGGGTGGTAAGGTGGAAAGTCCATTTGCGGCTCCCAGGACTCAGATATGAAACGGGGGCTACAAAAAAGGCAGCAGTGTCAGTTTCCGGACATGTTCGACGCTGGCGAAAAGGCCGGGGAAAAAACATGGGGTTATGGTACCCAAGTGACTCTCCGAGAGGGCCACAACAGAAGGGGGGGAGGGTTTGGGAAGGAGGGGGAAAGTCTGTGGAAAAGGGGAAAGTCCAGGGGAACGGCCCTGAAAGGAAGAATTTTACATGAGGGGGGGAAGGAAACCTTAAACTGGCCTCAGGTGGTAAAAATAAATATTAAGGGTCTGTGTGATGGGAAAACGGGATGCTTCAGGATGTTTTTTGTGGGTAAAAGGGTTGACTAGCTTTTGCGGGACAAAATTTTTAACCCTTGGGCCGTAAATTTAGGGGGCCCGGGGTATCAGGCTTATTTTGCCGTCTGAGGTTTTAAAAAGGGGGGTGGGTGGTTGATCAGGGGGGGCAAGCCCGTTTGTATTGCATAAAAAAGAGAGGGGGGGGGGGAGAGTATTACGGGGAAGGGATGGTGGATGGGAGTGGTGTTTGTGGGTTATGCCCCGCAGAAAGTGACAAAAGGGGAAGAGGATTTTGTGCGGGAGGACTCGTGTACTACCTACCACTTTACCGCGGGGCGTTTGTGGGGGGGGGTTTTGGGAATTGTGTAAAAAAGGGGACAGACGTGGAACCAGAGAGGGGGTTTTTTTTCCTCATTTTGGGGGGGCCTGCTTAAGATTTTCATTTGATGCTTTCAGGGGAAGTCTGGGGAGGTGAACATACGTTTATAAAAAGGGATATGGGGGTTTCGTTGGACGGGTTATATTTATCTCAGATTTTTTTTTTTTTGGTAAAGGTTTTTAAAACATTGAGAGGTGTCTTCCGATCATGGGGCGGTTTTAGTGAATGGGATGGGATGCTTTGCTCGTAGGCAGGGAAGTTAGGGAAAAACTGAACACGATGGTTTTTGGGGGAAAAGGGGGGGAGGGGAAGCGTTTGCAAAAATTTGGGAACAGCTCTGTGCCGCAGAAGCTGAGGAAATGTGGGGGATGGTGGGATAGTGTGGCTAAGTTAAGAATACTCAATTTTATGGAGGGAGGGCAAACGCATTAATAAAAGCGGTAGGGTTTCAAATAAGAATCAAATTTACGGGATTGTTACGGGGGGGGGGGCGGTGGCCGGGGGTACCCAGGGGAGGATAACCATTTGAAGGACGGGATAGGGGTTTGCAAGAAAACGTTTTGCGCCATAGGGAAGGCGGGTTGGACGAAGTACCTGGGGCAAAAAGCCATAGCTTGTGTGCGTGAGGACAAAAGGGGACACAGTAAACACTACAATCCCGGTTTGCAAGTCATATTTTCTGGGGGGGGTTTTTAGAGAGGTCGGGTATTAAGGGACACCAAGGGGATGAGTCCATAGCAGAAGAGGGTTTGGGGAAATAGGGGAAAAGAGTGGGTGGATGGCGAGGTTTTTGGGGAAAGGGTATGTGAGAATGGCCGTGAAACTGGGAGGAGTAAACGGGAGGCACTGGGGGGGGCATTGAGGGGGGGGAAAATGGAGACCCTTATGGACATGATAAAGGGGTAAGGCCCCCCGGGATCGAGGGTTTTTCCAAGCAATTTTATGTACAGCACGGGGGCTGCTTAGGGTTTCCCTAGTAAGGTTAATGAACCCCATGAAAGACGGGGGTAAGAGGGGAAATCTCGGGCAACGGGGGGTGATTTGTCCAAAGGGAAAAACGGCAAGTACCCTTCGGGATCACCAAGCCTTTTCTTTGCTTTTGCTGATTAAAAATTATTTGCGAAAATTCTTGGGAATCGGCTTAAATTGTTGTGGGGGGGTCGGTTTAGTCTCGTTTGGGTTACCTGGTGGGTCAATGGGCGGGGCCCCGGGGTTTATCAAGGGGTTCCTGGGGGGGACAGGAAAGGGGGAAGAGGGTGGTGGCATTGGTTGGCAAGGGTTTAGAAGGGTGGAAAGAAAGGCTTTGGGGATATTCTCCTACGACAGGGGTTGGCGAAGAAATATGGGGGGGGGTGGATACTTGTACTCAAACGCGAAGGTAAGGGGGCAAATCAATGGTGTGTGGGGGGGGAGCAACATGGGGCGGGGGCTTTTGGCTTTTAGTTTAATATTTTTATTATGCACCCCCCTACCCATCCCGTGGGGTTTGCAAAAAATTTCAGAGGGCTAATTGGGCCAGGGGCTGGACTCCAATTTTTGATAGCGACAAAATTCAGAGGCAATGAACCACAATTTACAAAGGTAATGAACTACAATTTACAAAGGTAAGAACTCCACAATTTACAAGGTAAAGAACTCCGGAAGTCTGGTCACAATCATACAAGTTACAAAGGTATTTACAGATTTCAGAGGACAAATGGGTCCAGGACGGGGGGTCCTTTACACAAATATTTTTTGCATGTGTTTAGGATCCCTTTTATAGGATGGTGGGAGGATCGCTAAGGGTGGGGGGGAGGGAGGTTTAGCTGAACCCTGGCCGGTTTGGTGGGCATGTTGAGATACCACTATTTTGGGAAGTGAAACACGTTTTGGGCTTTTTTGGGGGAAAATTGAAAAAACCCTTTTTGGGGGGGCTATGGGGGTGAAGTAAATGAAAAAATCAATGATCATGGGGCCCTTTGGGGAGTGGGGGAGAGATAGATTGGGAGTGATTTGTGCACGAGACCGGGGGTCTGAAAAACGCGGTTCATGTATGAGGCTGACCGAGCTGCAAGGGTTTCAAATTTGAAAGGATGGTGGAACAGGTGCGCGACCCGGGTTGGGGAAACTGCGACCTCACCATTAAAAACCCCTTTGGGAACGTGCAAATTTCATCAAAGATTACTTATATTAAAAAAAAACCCCCCCCCCGGTTTTTTTCGGCGTGATACCGTTAACAGGAAAGGCGATTACGAGTATTCTTAGAATGGTGTTTAAATTTTTTTGGGTTCAGGGTCAACGGGTTTGCGAAGGAGGTAGTGACATTGCCGGAAATTTGGGGAGGGTTTTGGGTTTTTTGGATTTGAAAAACGCGTGAAATGTGGTTTTTTAAGAGGGAATTGATGATGAGGGGGTGGAGGGAGGGGCAGCGATAAAGGGACATCTCACATAGGAAAGGATGGAGGGGGAAATGAAGGGAAAGTGAAACAGTGTTACGTCCCTTTAAAGTTTCCAGGGAACCGGGAAAAGTAAAGGGGGGAACTTCGGTAAAACGTTTTGGGGGGTAG